AGGTAGGTTAGTTCAGTGATGTGAGTTTAGTGAGTTGAGTGAGTGATTTCGGTGAGTTGAGTGAGGTAGGTTAGTTAAGTGATGCGAGTTGGTGAGTGAGTTTGGTGAGTTGAGTTCAGTGAGGTGTAGGGTTGGGTATCGAAAACCGCTTCCATTTTAGAACCGGTTCCAAATTTCAAAGAACCGGGTCTTCGATAAGACGCGTGCATTTCGATTCTGCTTAACGATTCGTGCGTTTGCATTTTAATGTGGTTTAAAATGATTTAATTTCAGGGACGGAAAGAACATGCACCCTGTTTGCGTGCACACGAAGCGCGAGCACAGAGAACAGCGGTCGCGGTGCAGGTTCCTGGTTTGTGTCCGTTCTCGAACCGTTCCGTGTATTTCCACTGTAGAAAAGGTTGTTCCGTGTCACTGACTTCTTTCATATTTATCGACCAGTATGCAGAAAACTACAGTATAACATCATAAACACAGCCTTTTTTGTCTTAAGTGAACGTAAACAGATGAGAAAGAAAACACACATGTACAGTATTTTTAGATCTGCGTGCGTTTGGTGTTAAAAAGACAGCAGCCTAATAAACACACTGCGTGTCATTAATGTTAATCAAAGAACAAAAGAAAATCATATTGCTTTATATATAGGTTTTTGCACTCAGGATGGACGTTGTGTTGATTATTTATTGTCTATATATTATGTTGTAACGCCCAGTTTAACACTTTATTTGCACATAATGCACAAGCTCACAACTGTAAGATGTTTTATTTTTCTTGTGGCTACGGCTGCTGTAGGACATCACACATCATGTGATTTTCACATTATTCCACACATTTATGTTTTTGCGTTTAGCATAAGCATGAAAAATAAAGGGATGAAAGCTTAAGAGCAATCTGAAGCAGGTTTCTAATGGCCAGTATACTCAGTATGTACATAATAGAATAAGATGAGATGGGCACAGAATTGCTTCAATAAAAAACACCAATTGTGCACTATATTTACTCAAAATTCACACACACACACACAAAAAATAAGAATTACACCCACTGTTATTGATCAGCCATGTATGATGGCTAAGCAAAAATTATATTTGCTTATAGGGGTGAGCGATATGACCAACATTTTTTTGACAAATTTCTACCGATTAATCATGTCGACCAGTATCTCCCACCCCTATTTGCTTATGAAGTTATATATAGTTTGTTTATAAGCCAATCACTTATAGAAATGTTAAAGGTAAAGTACTAAGGTTATAGATGGAATTCAGCTGGAAAATAAAATGCTACGAATGCTAATGAAAAAATATTTTATGCAACAAAAATTATTTTTTAAAAACTTTATTTACCTTATGTAAAATTTCTTTACCATTTTTTTTTTACTATGTTCAGTAATAAACGTTACAGCATCTAAAACATACTGATATATATATTTGCATCAGTCATCTTGCTCTCTAGATATTCTTACTGAACACTGATAAAATTCTGCTGCATAGAAAACAAAGATTCTAATTTTAAAAAAATAAAGACAATTGTTATTTCTGTACATCTGATGCGATTATGATTGATTGTGTTGAATTGACCTGCAGCTCAAAGACTTGTTATTGCAATCATAATGTCATTTTGTCAATCGTCTTTATTGAGATGATTAACATATTCAGATGATCTGATGATTTGATGCTCAAATCATCACGTCTCCTGCAGTCAGTGTGCTTGTGCCAATGATGTGGCGTGTTTGTTAGATTCTTCTGTGATTTGTTGTTGTTTTTTAAATAAATAAACCAATTGTGTAAATGTATGAACAAAAACCCCCAGCAGCAGATACTGTGTGTGTGTGTCAGTACAGCTGTTGGTGCGGATGCAGCTCTGTGTGTGTGCGGCTCTCGCATCGGGTTTTGGCTGTGACTCACGCTGATTAGCCGAGACTGCTGCAGTGAGAGAGAGAGAGAGAGAGAGAGAGAGAGAGAGAGAGTGAGTGGGCGAGCGAGCGAGCAAGTTATTGTGCTACAGTCTCATCACTCACTCTCTCCAGTCTGTTTTTCTCAGCGACCACCTCACAGGTTTTCTCCTCTCATCTCCTCCAGCGCTCCCTCCATTCGTTCCGTCTCTGCGTTCCGAGGATGACACCTCCAATTTCGAGGAGCCCGAGAGGCCCCCCCGCCCCGCGGCTGCTGCCCAGCGAGATCATCCTCGCACAGGCTTCCACGGACAAGACCTGCCCTTTGTAGGGTGGTGCTTCAGTCGGGCCCTGAGCGCACTGGCCAAGTCTGAGTGAGTACACACACGCACGCACACACACACATACGCTGATTGTACTAGTCTAGTCACAGGTGGTCCATTGGTGCGGAAACGGCCACATCACCACGGCGACTGTCACCAGGCAACATTGTGGCAGAATGTGAGGTACTGCTCGTGCGGGGAAAGCTGCGGTTCGCTCACTTCACGAGTCTTTAAGATGAATGAGAGGGAGCCGCGTGTGTGCCACTGTTTTTATATCAGGAGACTCAGAATATCTCATGCATGTGTTGCCATGTGCATGCAGGGGAACGGGAAACCCTCGTCCAGCGCGCACGTGTGTGTGTGTGATATGATCTGTAGCACAATGACATCCAGTGCATAAACGCTGTGTAACGTGATCGGCTCTGTGTTTGCTGCGATGTGGTCAACCTTCAGTCTGTTGTTTTGGTTTGCATTTGCTTCTGATCGTGTGGTTTGGTGTTTATTGATCGGTGAATCTCACATAAATCTGTCAGAAACATGTCCAGGTTGTATTTCATCCCTGAATCAGAAGAAAGCATGAAAACTATGTGCTCATTACCATAATGCAAAAAATACTAATTACAGTAATATTTTTTTATTTCAGTTTTTAATCTAATTTTCCTCAGTTCTCATTACTGGAATATTTTTTTTCTCATTTTATATTTAATTTCCCACAATTCTTATACCACAATGGCAAAAAACAAACAAAAAAAATGTAATTAAAAATTTTAACCCCCCCATCACACAAAAAAATAATTATCATTACTGTATTATTTTTTATTTCATTTTCCTTGAATTCTCTTTGCCATAATGCAAAAAAATTCTCATCACTGTAAAAACGAATATTGTTTAATTAAATTTTCCCCCAATTCTCATTACCATAATGCAAACATATCTCATTACTGTAATGTTTATTTAATTTCCCCCCAATTCTCATTAGTAAAATGCAAAAAATTCTCATCATTGGGGGAAAAAAAGAAATATATATATATATTTTTTTATAGTTTCATTTTATTTCCCCCCAATTCTCATTACTATAATGCAAAAGGAATTGTCATTACTGTAATGTTTTTTTATTCATTTTTAATGTAATTGTTTTTTTTTCATTTCCCCCCCCAGTTCTCATCACCATAATATAAAAATAAATTCTCATTACTGTAATGGTTTTTAGCATAATTTATTTCATTCAGTTTTATTAATTTTTTTTACCCCAGTTCTCATTACCATAATGCAAAAAAGAATGTAATTGCTGTAACGTGGAAAACAATTGTAAAGTATTTCAACATCATTGGTAGTGGTTGTTGTGCTTTAATTTGTTGATTTTAATCACAATAACTGTATTGCAATAATGAGAATGACTAAAACACCTGGATGCATTACACTAATGTATGTGTGTGTGTGTGTGTTTGTGTGAGACGTGCTGCCCAGTGAATCTCTGCGTCTTTGAATGCATTCAGGCGTGAGTTTATTGTTACGTGTCACTCTGTTCCTGCATGCTGTCAGATCATGATGTGTCGAATCAAGTCTCGGTCGGGAATCTGATCCCAAATGAGCCATAAATAACGTTTTTTTTTTTCTCAGAAGCTGAAGAGAAAGGGAAATGAGAGGGTGAGGTGAAGCTTTATAATGTTAGTCAGAATGAGAATGAACCCAGAATGCATTTCTATGGTAACCAGGGTGAGTTTCCTTCCCACGCTCCCCCCCTCCGTCTCTCTCCATCCATTCATACGCTTATTCTTTCTCTAATCCTGAAGTGTGTATTTGTCCAGCCATTTCCAACACCATGAAACCCCCCGAACGCTACACAAACGGGTCCAGCAGAGGAGCGTGGGAATGTTAATGCAGAGGTGCAGCTGCTGATTGGTGGATGGGCTCCTCTAGAGATGTGCTGTGATATGAGAGCACTGGATATGTCTTGAGGCAAACAAAACATCTGGAATGAGTGAAACCGGTCGCAAACCACCCTCACCGCGCTTCACTGCCGCACGCTTCAGAAATGCATGCATTGTGGCCGCAGTAGGTGTGTTGTTTAGCAAGCTTGACGTGCCATTGTTCATGTAGCGCTCATCTCTTTCATAAACACGCAGACACAGAAATGCGTTCTTTTCTGCTGCACAACTGACGAGTGCATTTATCAGGCAGTGCAACAGAAAAACATGCATTCATAAAGCAGTGCAATTTAAAAAAAACATGCATTCATAAAGCACTGCAATTAAAAAAAACATGCATTCATAAAGCAGTGCAATTTTATAAAAACATGCATTCATAAAGCAGTGCTTAAAAAAACATGCATTCATAAAGCAGTGCAATTTAAAAAAAACATGCATTCATAAAGCAGTGCAATTAAAAAAAACATGCATTTATAAAGCAGTGCAATTTAAAAAAAACATGCATTCATAAAGCATTGCAATTTTATTAAAACATGCATTCATAAAGCAGTGCTTAAAAACACATGCATTCATAAAGCAGTGCAATTTTTAAAAAACATGCATTCATAAAGCATTGCAATTTTATTAAAACATGCATTCATAAAGCAGTGCTTAAAAAACAT